GTATAGTATGATTGGTCAAATCGTCCTATACAATCTGACTGGATTAATTAATCCAAAATCGTTCCTTAATCACAGGAACAATTTAGGCAAGATTTAAATACATCGTACAGAACAATACCTATCGTACAATATGATACCTATCATAAAGTAACGATGAGTACAAATTTTGAATTTCAAAATATTGCCTAAATTTGTGATTGACAACTAGTATCTTGATTTCAATTGATCGTCCTGTATAATATACATCGTACAGTACGATTAGTTCATCTTGCATTAATTATCACAATTAGCCATTTTAATCATTTTCTAATTAGATGATCGTACAGTACAGTATCATCATACAGTACGATATAGATCGTACAGTACGATTAATTCAGAAAATTCAATATCCGATAATGTCACTAACTCACTCCCTTAAGTGTATATGCATGGTTACCAAGCTTAATATCCACCAAATACATAATTTGACTCAAGAAAGATAAAATATATAATAATTGAAACTATAGACTCTTCACAACATACTTAAGCCTAGTCTACCCAATTTGAGCTGATCAACCTTATAAGTGTACGGTGGACCTAAAATATTAGTGCATAGAAAAAAATCATATAAGCAATAATAGCAATTAATTAGAGATAGCACAGTAAGAAATCTAATAATATTTTTTAACATCAAAATCACAGGACTTAGGTCTAGATATGCAACAAACATTAATAGAGGTTTCTCATGATTGCATGAGTTTAGAATCTTTTAAAGATTTAGAAAGTTCATTAAAAATTTTATTTTATAATAATTTTTAAATTTTAACTACTAAAACATTGCTACAATAATGAAAATGTTGGAGTAGCTCTAGTGGTAGATAAGATTAAAGAGGTCGCCTTAGATAATTTGGACACATTAAATGTTGACCTTCTAATGACCTGATTAGAAGTAGATGTATTAGATTTGGCCTATATTAAGAAAGGTAAAAATAGACCTAAAAAGACTAGATTAAAAAATATTATAAATGACATTTTTTTATAAATTTAAATAAGAAATTGAGTCTTAACATGACATAATGGTGAAGAAGGATTCATGTGTCAACCCCACGTAAAGGGATAAAGGCGTGATATTGTTGTAGACATCGTTGCAACTATAATTCATAAATGGCTAGTGGAGTCATTCTAAATTTATGGGCTCCAAAAATTCGCGTCTTGGCCTCTCTATGATTTTCGGAAGAGAGTTTTAACAATTGAGATTTTGGGTCAATTTTTTTAGAAGGAAGATTAGATTTAAGATAAAACACTATCAAGAGATGTCACCCTCATTTGCGATGACTTTATGATCTAGTTTGAGGTTTCCCATATGTGCAAGCACCTGTGCTTAATTGCTCCTTCTACTGACGATAGAGAATTTTTTATTAAGACTAGTCATTAGATAGATATTAATTACCCAACATATAGTAATAATAATTTTTGGATTTAGATTTTTAGAATTTAAAATTTATCATTGTATACTTAAAGCGGATGGTGGTGGAATGACAATGAGCTAGATCAAGATCCCCTGATTCTATCATCTCAGGCAATCATGATTCTAGTCAACTTAATCAAAGGAGATAGTCAGCTCAACCTAAATGATGAATCATTGTCAATATTAATGTGTTGCTTTGTCCAGTAGTATCTTTTAAATTTGATGTGAATGTTTGCCTAATTGGACAAATTTGAGTTATCTTAACTAACATGGGGATTTGTGCCCTAACATGTTTATCCTATGATTCATTACTCTTGGGTTTTAAGCCATTGAAAGACAAATAAAATTTGGTCATGATCATGATTTAGTAGTACTATTATGTTGCAAAATCACTCAGCTAGGGAACCCGATTTTAACCATTTATCTGGTATGATATTTGGTGGCAAAATCACCAATTAGATTACACGTGTCACATCCTTATTGTTAAAAAATTAATTGAAAAAATATTCTTAAAAATGTGCTTGAAAAGACATTCACCTTTTGTGAACTACAGTTATTCTTGAATTTATCACCCCTGACAAATTGATGTGGAAGGTTGATGAATTTTTCCATATATTTCAAGTGATTAAATTCAATTTAAATCTTTAATTTTTTGTAGATATTAAATTTGTAAATTTTATCCAAATTTAGGCCCCAAAGCATTAATTTTGAAATTTATGGACATTTTTTAAAATTAAGTGGTTCCCTCTAGTTAAAACTTTCTGGTAATGCAGCCACCATGAAGGTGATGTTGAAGTCAGTTATGAATATTTATATTTTATTAGTGTTTGGAGGCATTTAAAGGGGTAGAATCCCCTCTAGTTGAAGCTCACCATTAACACAGCTATTATCAGAGTTTTAAATAATTTAATTTTTAACAAACGAGCATTGTCTACTATGTTTGCTCATCTCCATAGGATTGAATTTAAACATAAACTTTGTGCTCATTATACATGCATTGAACTTGAGAGTTTGCATTTTATAATGAAATTTCCTTGGAAGTGGCATTAAAGGCCTAATGTGAACGTAAAAATTAAATAATTTCATAAATTTTGCTGCCATATATTTGGTTATTAACTCAAGTCTCAAAAAATAAATTAATTAATTAAAAAAAACTCAAGTCTCATCAAATCCAATTCTTTTAAAGATGAGGATTACACTTGAAATCTAAATTCAAATTTAACTCGTGCACATTCTTAAATCTTATGTTTAGGAACTCCATGCATCGGTAAGAGCACATGCAGATAGGTTGATCTTAAACAAAGAGAAGTAATATTTTAAAAATAAAAGGATAGTTAAATTGTTTTCTTCCTGTATAGTATTCTCAAATGATGATTTTAAGCATTTAACATACTCGTTGGAGCACATATAAAAATTTTTAATATCTTTTAAATGACGTGCACACTTTTTAGTGCATTTATACGAGGCATTTATGCTCATTTTAGTGTGCTAATTATGTGTGAAATAGGATTATGTTGATCAATCAGGATGTACTATTGCCTTGGACCTCAATTTAGTTTATAGAGCTTGCTAAGGGATTGCAATGGGTCCTCCCCTGCTTGGGTTCTAGTGCAAAACACCTGAAAATTTATTCTATACAACCATATAGCGCCCTCGGCGCTGTGTATCCAACTGTCCCGACGCTGTATGTTTAACTATTCAATATAGAATTGAATTTAATAATCTCGCATGCCTTAATTTCCCCCTCATGTAAGTGCTCTACATATTGACAACCACTCTTTATCAAATGAAAGATTTTAGAAATCATTAACTATGATGCGCTAAGAACCAACTTAACTATGTTAAGATTATAGAATTCAACTGCTCTTGAACTTTTTCCCAACAAGTAGAAATTGTCAAGACCAATAACATCCAAAAACTACATGAACCACATTATCAAACTCAAACTTTCATCAAGTGTACCACTTGTTCATCGTGTGAACCAAAGGTGAACTCAATAAAAAACCAGTAAAACACCTTTTCAACCCTAAAGCATAAACCTATAAATGAGAGCCACTTTAACTTCCTATGCCAACATATTTTTCAAGCATCAAATGCAGGACAAAATCTAGTACTCTCAAGTGCATTAACAATAGATAGGACTAGGTCAGATCAAACTACTGGGTTAGGCTGCATTACTTAGTTGTGCTCATTTTGGGAGCTGCAACTAGAAAAATCAACCCAGAACACCTGCACTAAATTGGACATGACTAAATCAAATTAAACAAATAAGTACAGACAATCCAAGTCAAGGGTGGCCCAATTACACTAATAAAAAAGGTTAGGTGATAGTTGAGGGAAAAATCCCAGTAAGTAATTGCTGATAATTGAATGAAACAACACTTCTAGGAGTAATGGAAAACAGCTGCATAGAATTGATCAAGCAACACAATTTCTGCCATTCCCAGCAAATAGGTCACTATTATTGAAGCCCTGAGTTAGTGACTACACGATGAGTCATAAGAAAAGGCGCCTTGAGTTAGTAACTATACAATGTGGCATAAGAAAAGGCCAGTGTGGTAATAGTAAGGAGGCAACAATCATGGATGGAGCATCTGTTTATGAAGAAGTTGGTTGCAATTAGAATTTGACGTTTGAAGGGGATGTTGATTTTACAAACAAAGATACCCTCCTTTCTGAAAATTCTACTCCTTTTGAGGTGCTACATGTCTGAATAATGAAACATTTTGACATGAACAAAAGGTGATAGATATCATTTATGTAATTACTAAATGATAGTATTAGGAAGATATTTCTATACAAGAGCAAACTAAGAAGTTATCATGGATAATACAAATTGATCTAAATAAAGAAAATTGAGTCATCAGAGGAGAGAAAAAAGAAAGTCAAAATTCATAAAATCAATTGAGACACTTAAGAACTTTTTGGCAACAAGTAGAAATTAACTTTAGTAGGATTTAAAATCTATAAATTCGAATTTCTTAAATCCTGCTGAAGTTAAATCAAGAAAATTGTTTAGCAAGATAAGTGTTAAATCTTATTAAATCCTATAGAACCGTTTGACAATGTAATCCAAGATTTAAGGCAGTTAATTCATAAGAAAAATCAAATTTAATTTGTGTTTTAATTTAAATTATATTTTAAGTACAAGTTACTTATTAATTATAACTTTAATTATTGTCAATTTATTATGATTAAAAAATATATAATTAGAAAACAATTTAATTATGAAATAATTAATTACTTTTAATTTTGACTATATTTTTAAATATTTATGAGTTAATTATTGATTATTAATTTTAATTACATTATTAACTAATCATTATAAATAATACAATTAGAATTTAAGCTAGTTATCAATAAATCTTTTTTTAAGGAAATATTATCAATTAATCTAAGTAATTAATTATTTATTAATTACACTATATTTTTAATTAACCTAAACTAAATTAATTTATTCCTATGTTCTCTTTCATCACCGCCTTCCTATAACCACAAGTTTGCTTGGGTTGCTTTTCCTCTTCTCCGGCTATTCCTTGTTGTTCGACTTCACCTGCTTCATATGAGAGGTAGTTTTGAAGGAGTCGCTAAATAACTTCTTTGCCTCATTCGACGACGTTTCGTTCTGTCGGATCTGAGGTACCACCTCCTCGCCGTTTTCTGTTGGATCGGAAGGAACGACCACGACGGGAGCTTGCTTGTTGCTAAGGTAACCATCTTTCTTCCTTTCGCACTCTTCTTCAGCCAAATCTAGTAAATCCGCAAAACTCCCAAACTTAGTAAACGTGATATTTATGGCAAAAAGAGGGAAACAAAGGATTTTACTCACTGTTAGATTTAACAATTCCCTAAATCCTGTTTGCCAGGATTTAACATAAATCTTGCTCAAATCCTTCATAAATCCTATATCCAAACAACCCTATAGTGAGATTTTGAGTTTTGACACATTGGTACAAGTTACTATTAAAATGGATAAGATATCCTATCCCTAATAAACGAGACCTTCTAAATAGACTAGCACAAGCTAGCTTATTTTCCAAATTCGATCTAAAATCTGGATATTGGCAAATTCAGATTAAAGAGGAAGATTGTTATAAAACTGCGTTCACAGTTCCATTTGGACAATACGAATGGAACGTTATGCCTTTTGGCTTAAAAAATGCTCCATCAGAATTCCAAAAAATAATGAATGAAATTTTTAATTCATACAATAAATACATCTTAGTTTACATAGATGATGTATTAATTTTCTCTAAAAATATTGATGAACACTTTAAACATCTTAAAACTTTCATTTGGCTAGCAAAGTCAAATGGCCTAGTGATTTCAGAACCGAAAATAAAATTATTCCAAACAACCATTAGATTTCTAGGACATACTATTACAAATGACACTATTATTCCTATACAAAGAAGTATTGAATTTGCTGATAAATTTCCTGACAAAATACTGGATAAAAAACAGCTCCAAAGATTTCTTGGTGCTTTAAATTATGTTTCTGATTTTTATCACAATCTTGCAAAAGATGCTGCACCCTTATTTAAAAGACTTCGTAAAAACTCTCCCCCTTGGGACGATACATGTACTAAAGCAGTACAAATCATTAAACATCATGTTAAAAATTTACCTTGTATTAATTTAGCAAACCCTGATTATTTAAAAATTGTTGAGACCGATGCATCTGACATAGGATATGGAGGAATTCTTAAACAAAAGAATTCATCTGTCGGGACGGGCGAAGGAACAGAACAGGGGAGCCGAATGAGGCTCCCCACTCATTTCGTTTACTTAGGGGCGCCAGCACATAGCCGAACGACACCCCCGTTCCGTCCCATCTGACAGCCTCGTTGCAAGAAACGAGAGAAAAATCTACTCGAGTAGATTTGGCTGCCACTTGAAATGAAATTGAGTGGGATTTGGAGCTCAATCTCAGCCCTAGATCTCAAAGAGATGGCTTGGAAGTCAAATTCAGCCTAAATTAACAAATTAAGGCTGAATTTGAGCTCGGATTGAACCCGACTTGGGTCGATTTGGGTCCGATCGAGTCAATTTCGTGAAATTGAGCTCGAATCGGCGCCGAATTATGTCGAATTGAGCTCGACGACGCTCGATGGGGTTTGATTTTAATTTAATTAAATTTAATTAAATTGAGGTTCGATTTGAGTCAATTTCGTCTTGACGACCTTCGATCGAATCGATCGAGCACGATTGAGCCCAATCGGGCTCGATGTGAAAAAGTACGTCAACAAACATGGCTTTTTCTCCATAGAGACGACATCAGGGGTTCATAGGTAGAGCCTCCATGGTAGATCTAGAAGCCTCCATGGGAGTAGATTTGCCTGGGGTCGGAGGCCAACAAAGTCCAGGGCGAGGGTTCCATGTTCTTCCTTTGTTCGAGCCTTGCAAGTTGTTGCTGGAATTGGGTAATTTCTTGCTGTAGATCTTCGATCACTGTTTCTTGAATTGGTCTGTGGATGATGCTGTTCCAACTAGAATTCACTGTTTCTTGAATTGCATCTTGCCGAGTTTGTCAAGATAGTTGTTTTGAGGTTGAATTTGTGGCCGAGATGAATTCTAGTTGCTGAATTCTAGCCAAGAACTAGGAATGATGCTGTTCTTGGTGGTTGGAATGGCACTGGAAATAAAAGTAAAATGGTAAAAACCAAGATTACAAGTAATATGAAATTTCAATGAGAAAGTGTCTTGACAAAATTGGTTAAGCCATATGAGTTACTATTTTTTTGGAAGGTGGAAGAAGATGACAACAATCTAAGGAAGGTGGATGTAGTCTTTATAAGGCGAGTGGCTGCTGGTTGGACCTGCTAGAAGAGAACAACAGCCTTCAGGAGAGCTAGAAGAAGAACAACAACTATCAAGATCAATTCGAAGAACAATAGCCTTTAGGAAGGAAGAGTTCGTTGTTTTTGATCATCTAGATAAGCCACAGTGGTCTGCAGGTGGGGGTGGTTGAAAGAATACTACAATTTTCAAGTGGACTAGTAGAAGATTTGCACCCTGCAGGGGATGTAGATACCGAACGGTTGAGAAGAAAGGGCCAGAGAGTCCTTAAGTCCTTTTGGAATATTAGGCAGGTCCAATCAAGTGGGCGACGAGGTGTAGGCTCTGGCTGCGTGGGCGAAGGGTGCGGCATGGGGTCGAGCCGTGAGGGATGCGATTATAAGTCATGTTTGGGTCGATTTGTCTCACAGGAAGGATTGGATTGTAGGAGAGCAAGAAAAGAGAGAGGCAGAGATCCGATGGCTGAGGAGTTGGTGTTGGGTGTTGATCATAGTATATGATTGGTTGCAGGTCGATGATGGAATCCAAGTATGTTAGAAAGCATCACAAGCATGAGCTGTGGGTGAACTACCGTAGCTCCACTCTCATCAAGCACATCAAGGCCCTTGTTCATCTCATGTGGTCTCGACAATCACCAACACTTCGAGATTGGTGCTTCTTGAAGACGACAAACACATTCTCGGCATCAAGATCGTCAGAGGTGATCGTCGCCTAAAGAACTGCTTCTTCGTGGAGGCCCTGATCAACTGCAACCTCAAGTCTCTTGCGGAGATTAGTGTTTGGATGAAGAACAACAACCAAGCATCTTGTTGGAGCTAGGCTTTGATACCAAATGACATCGGATGGAGGGGGCAATGTGACCACCACTTGGAGAAGTTAAGGATATAGAAGAAAATAGAACAGCTTTGCAATTCTTTTCTAAACTTATTTAAATCTTAACAACTGAATACAAGAGAGGAGACATCCCTCTATTTATAGAGTGAGGCTACCTTTGGAGGGAATTATTATAGAAAAAAGAAATTTATAATAAAAGAAAGAAATAACATCTAACAATAGAGAGGAGGTGGGTTTGGTTGTTTGAACTTTGAACATTTCATTCTCTTCTATCATCATTATTTTTATAACTTTTTTATTATTTTGTAACATTTTTCTCAATTATCCTCTTTTTGCAGTTCCAAAAGAAGCGGACTACCCGTTCAAAATATTTTATCGACTCCCAATATTACCCGACCCAAGGAACAGGGACATCAGAACATGATTTTATGTTCCTCATAGAGTTGATCTTTAGGCTAAACCCAGGGTTGCCTAATTCATTGGATCAATTTACAAACCCTGCCAACGCCACCTTGGCTCTCTTAACACAAATTAGGCTGGAAGTGGAAGAAATGAGGTATTGGGAGGGCCTATGTCATAAGGTTGAGTTTTTGGTTCGTCGGTTGAAATCCCTTTCTATCATATGAACTAGTGTCTCATTATTCGATCTTCACAAGAGAGTTAGAGTTCTCCGAGCAACTGCTGATGAGAACACAACTGTTTGTTTGATTAAAAAGTTTTTGGGTTTGAAAACTTAATTTTCTTTGGGAGAATTGAATTTCTAGAATTGTAGTTTTAAAATTAAACACGTCATTATGAATGATAGATCGTCTCGGGCGGCAAACATATCATTTCCTAATGGGTTCATATTACAAAACTTTGAATTCATCCTAATTATCATAGTCAAACTCTGGGAAGGACAACATATGATTTTGGAGGATCAAAATAATGTTTGATCGAGTGCTTGACTATAATATTCTGGATAAAGAATCATTAATTTCATAATCAAAGTTATGATAATAAAATGATATATCTTTCCGAGGAAAGATTATATCGTCTATTATCGATCATTTGAATATGACGTTAATGATCGTTGAATATGATTTTTCCCAAATAAAATTAGTTGAATTCTTGAAAAAAATTAATTTTTCTGGGTTACTAAATCTCCTACAAGCACAAGCCCTCATAACTAATTACATTATAGGAAACCGAAGTTTCCTATGAATACTCTCGATTAAAATACTACAACAACAACATTAAGCCTTTGTCCCACTATGTGGGGTAGGCTACATGAATCCTTTTTTGCCATTGTATCCTGTTAAAAGTCAAATTTTCGTTTAAATCTAATAAAAAAAAGATCATTTCTAATATTTTCTAACCAAATATTTTTAGGTCTGCCTCTATCTTTCTTAACATATGTCAAATCTAATAGCTTAACTTTCCTAACGGGGTCATCGGAAGGCCTCCGTTTAATGTGACCAAACCATCTAAGGCGGCTCTATCTAGTTTTATCTTCCACTAGAGCTACTCCAACCTTTTCACGTATATGCTCATTTCGAATCCTATCTCTAAGGGTAAAGCCACTCATCCACCTAAACATCCTCATCTCTGGAACACTTAACTTAGTATTATGCTTCTCTTTTAATGGCCAACATTCGGCACCATAAAACATTGCGGGTCTCACCACCATCTTATAGAATTTTCCCTTAAGTTTGACCGGGACTTTTCTATCGCAAAACAAACCCGACGCATCCCTCCACTTCAACCATCCAATTTGAATTCTACTGATAATAGCCCCATCTACTTCACCATCACTCTGTACAATAGATCCAAGATATCTAAAACATGTCCTTTTAATATTGACTTGATCGCCCAAAGTCACAATCCCTTCACTAGGTCTATTGCTACTAAAATTACACTATATATATGTAGTTTTAGATCTACTCAAGTGAAAACCTTTAGACTATAAGGTTGACGTCCATAATTCAAGTTTACCTTCAACTCCCTCTCTAGTCTTATCAATAAGAAGAATATCATCAGCAAAAAGCATACACCAAGGTACATTCTTATGCAAATGTCTAGTGAGAACATCCATGACTAAAGCAAAAAGTTATGCTTAAGGCTGATCATTGATATAATCCAATCGAAATAGGAAAATACTTGATCAAACCACCTTGTGTTTAAACACAAGTAATAGCTTCTCATACATATCTTTAGTGATTTGAACAACAGCGTTATTAACCCCTTTCTTTTCAAGAACTCTCCATAGTACTCTTGGAACTTTAT